CTGAACAGCAATAAATGCAAGCTACAGACTTGGTCTTCGATTGCACATAAAGTCTGTTATATTTCAATGAAGATAACTGGCAGACAAGTTCAAGAATGAAATAAGGAGACAATATGATCATCATCTATATATTCCTAGAAAATAGGGATGAAACTCAAGCGTTTTCAATAGCTCTGATTTTGAATTTTTCTGATTAATTCAGACTTTCCTGCTGAATATTAATATCATTTAATATAGGTGTGAAATCCTCTGCCAGAAATATACTTTTTTTCTCTTTTTTTTCCTTTAAATTTGAGATTACGCCTAAAGCAACACAAGCCATTAACATTCAGATGCCAAGGGTTCACTCATAAAAAGAGAATACTATTCCTCTATTTCATGGACTAACATAATGCTATAGGAACTTTGAAATCTAATAAATCTAATGGGCACAGAACAGACCACAGGTAGAAACAATTGTCTTTGCACCCAAAAAATGCTGACAAACATAAGGAAAAAGACTAAAAGGGCAAGGACATGTGCTAAATGAGGGTTGAAAAATTAGTAGTGTATTCTTACCGGTATCAGAAGATACTAACCTGGACCACCTCTAATTTTATTCCAAAGAAGGGGCAAAGTATTTAAGTGAGCTGGGCCTTAAATCTCAGGAATTAGGAAGAGTGGTAGGTAGCAGTGAGCCTTCTAACCTTGTGCTGATTCCAATTAAGTGATTATTAAAGAGGGAAGGAAAGGCAAAACAAACCAAAGGTATTGACAGTGCTCATTCCATCACTGAGCTGAAGATGCACTTCAAAGTCAACCTGCAGCTGATTTTCAGATGTTTCCACTGTGAAACATTTCACTATCCCCTGAAACAGGCATCCATCTTGAAACTAACACATGCAAAACCTAAGATTAAATCTAATAAAGCTGACAACAACTTCACAAGGCATAAATGTTCACATAAGTAATAACAACCTTCATTTCCTTTACATTTTATTGATCATATGATGTAGAAAGATGACGGTTCACATTATTATTTCAACTAACATAAGCTTGCAATACTTCACCATAGTCAAACATTTGGCAAAAATCAAGAGCACTTGTCTAAATTTCAATAAGACAAACAATTGTGCACACATTCCTTTTAGTCATGAAGGCATTATGGCTTACTCCTTAATATTTCTATAAAATAAGATTACAAAATTATTATTTTAAAGAATGCATAATTCAGAATAAAGGACAGTCACTACCCTGAAGATTTTATGGCTCAAGTATAAAACAAGAGACAATAAATTCACAGAAAAGTAAAAAGAAGCAACCCAAAACTAGTCAATGTGGTTGCAAGTGCTATAAACAGACTGAAGCCTACCTGTCAGGTCTATTCTAGGTATTGCAGAAAAACAGCACTTACGTAAAGATTTAGAAGAAAGTAACTGAGTATCTGCATTAGGTGCTCCATTTAAGTGAGACAGTCTATCTGGGAGATAGCACATACTTTCTTGCAAGCTTAAGTGCGTGATGAGGCTGTCATCACCAGCTGATATACTGGCAGTCATCATCTCAACACTGAATATGAGATGACATGTAAGGTGTCAGTATTAGTCCATTAAAGGTCTTGGAAGAGAAGGTGTCTAAGTTTTCCTTGGTGCTATAAAGGAAAGGGAGCTAAAGGAGATGCAAAGCAAGAAAAAATGATGGACTGAAAAGTGATCTTTATAGCTTCTTTGCAGTCCCGGTGAATATAAATGAAGCAAAAATGCATTTGTCAAAGCCAAAGAAAAGGACATTGCAGTAATAAAGATGTGAGCTGATGACAGCATGGGTGAAAATGTCTGTTAGACAGAGAGAAAAGCTTGTATCCTCGAATCACGAGGTAAAAATCTGCAAGACAGATTCCTTACTACAACATATTGAATATATCTTTATAGCTCAGCTATGTCAACAAAATGATGACTTACTTAAACTGAAAATTTGGACTATATCTTTAGTATATAACAGATAAACCAGTATCAGTCCAACATTACTATTAGCTTACATTCAGTTTGACAGCTGAATCTAGTTCCTTGTTTCCTTAAAAATCTTTCAGATATCTGGTAACGTTAAACTCAATAGCCATGTTTTCCATTCATATTTTAATTCTAAATGTGCTTAAAATCGTACTTGAATAGTTTAGCATCAACCATTCACATCCCAAGATTTCAGAAGTATTTTAGAATTATGGCTGTTGTTAGGAAAACGAATGACAGTAAGTCAAAGTCTAAAACATGCTGATGAATAGAAAGGTCTTCATTACTTATATCTTTAATTACTTAAGCTTAGATAGTAAAAACTGAATTAATTTCATATGTTGCATTTGCACAGCAAGACATGTTTTATCACGTTAAAAAAAATATTGTATTTGTACCCATATTAAACTTACAGTGCTTTTTCTCTTTTTTTGTAATCTGACACTAGGATGAAATCAGTGAATTAACACAGAACATTTATACCATCAACAGAAATGTCATAAGGCAAGAATGACTCATTTGATCGCACCAAACATCACATGGGTTACAAAGGAATATGTAATCCAGCGTTAAAAGGTCTTCCATTTACTGTCTGCCCATTCTGTTCTCTGTTTCCCCCACATGTCAAGTAAAAGCTGTTAATCTGAAGTATGATTAGAACTACATTGCTGCACAAACGAGCTTTCTGCACCTGGGTTTGTGAGGCATCCTATGTAAGTAAAGCAGACTGTCTCAAGAAGTGATAACTATGGGAGATTAACAAGCTCTAACTAGAACCAAACCACTATCATTCTTTTCTATAGTATTAATCTTTATATTGTACATGGGCATGAAATATTTAAAATGTCTACCTGGAAACATATCAGCATAGTTTCACCGCTATCAAAAAGTGACCCTGTAAAATCTGAAAATAGCATGTAATTATTTTTGCCCTCATTACATAGCATTGCATCACATAGCTAATGGCATCACATAGCAAAGTTCAAAATGGGATCAAAGTTTACTAAAGAGGTTACCAATACCTTTATTAAGCAGGACAAAATACAAGTAACTATAAACTCACAGCAAAACAAAAGCATTTGTCATTTCTCCTCTGCTCAGCTTCCTAAAATCAAATATTTTGTCTTGGGACACTGCAGCTTGAAATAGTTATCCTCATTCTCCAGTGTACTCTATTTTACAGTACTTAGGCAGGACCAATTTATAAAGACATAGAATAGAGAACTGGCTTAACCTGTGGGAAGTCAAGAGACTTATCTCTATCATATGCATATGCAAGAGAAATGATGATGCATGTTTTCATGATTCTTGGTACAGTTTACATAACAAAAAATGCAGCAGGAAATGTACTATAGCTATGACTTCTCAATAATGTGAATTCAATGCAATTAGAGTACCCCAACAACACAAACTGAACTTCCTAACTTTCCAGTGTAGTTTAAATACCTATTGCTTGTGCTACCACTTTGAAGACTAGGCAACAGTCTACAGCTATTGTTAGCAAACCAGAAGAATAACGGATTTTATTCTTGCCCGTGGGAGAGAAGCATCATTTGGAGAACTAATAACACTTTAGTGTAGTCATTTTTAAAGGTCATGTTACACAATAAAGAAGGGCAAGCCTTTTAGTGATAACATCCGATTGTGATAAAACTAGTGCTACAGATCCTCAAAATTACTAATTATGCTTCTATGTTGTAAGGAAGCTAAAGCAGTCTGATAAATGTGTTCCAGATTTATGTACTTCATAGTCTAGTTTCCATAGTCTATAAAGGAATTAAACCATAAAGAAATACCTTAATTATTAAATAAGTAAAAAAATATATCTCAAAATATGTAAGGAGAACAAAACAAATCTTCAAGTACTATACCTCAGATTATTATTTATTTTAAACATACTTGCAATAGACTTTGCAAAACGGGAGAATTATTAAATTGGTGCAGGAAATCAACAGGAAAAATTTAATAGGAAGGATTAACATTGTGAACACTGGTAGTTGAGAGGCATGGCTGCCAACATTAAAGCTGTTTTTGACAAAATACCATAAATTGAGAAAACCTGACAGGCTTAACAGCTAGGATAAATTAGTTAGTTGTGCCCTTAGGCACTTCTTTATTGCAAAGATAGGCAACTGCAGTTAAAGTTCTCTGAATAAATCATTTTATGATGAAAGATAAAATAGATCAAAGTGATACACAAATTTATACAACAGTTCATTCAGGGCAACAGAGTTCAGTCAGATGGAGGGAAAACAAGCTGGTAACAGGGAATTTCCAGAGGCAGGCAATGGTGGTGGCTGTGCAGCATGGTTTGCTTACAGTCAGCCTGTAAGCAGGACGTAAATGCCTTTCAGGCATTGCATGCGTATCACAAGGTAAAATGCAATATATGGTCTTTCTATGAAAGTGAACTGTCACCAGTTCACAATCATAATTGAACTTCTACAGGCATATGCAAATTATTTGCCCATTTATCATACTCAAATTCCACTCCAAACTGATACGCTCTTTGCTAAAAAAATGTAAGGTTTTGAAATGCAGGGACCTGAAGTGAATAGTCTTACAATCCTCTCATTTCCTACTGAAAAACAGGCTTCTTATTTTAAAAGACCGCTTGCCTAGGTATTTTTGAAAGAATGAAAATCACATTGTTAGTGTGCTGTTTATACAGATGAAATGCTATAAATACATTAAAAAACATCCAACTACCTTATCAGAAAATCTTTGTGAAATACCAAGGCTCTGCTTGCTACAGCATCTTCAGAAATCATCTTCTCAAAGTTCCTCTCAGTTAAAACAGCTTTTTTTTTTTCCCAGAGCGGACAAACAAAATGCATCTCCTACTGCTTATAGTCCATCACTTCACATCTAACAGTTTTGGAGCAACTCTTAGATACCGTCAGTCTTGCTGCAACTGCTGGTATTTTGTCATAAAACCATCTCCAAGTAACACTAGGAAGCTAAATTTAATAAATACCACCATGTCCTTGAAAAATAGCCCCTTTCACTTACTTGAAAATCTTTCTCTTCCAGGATCTCTTTCCTCCACCTGACAAGGAAGGCAGCACAGACGTACAAGTGGAAGTGAGAAAAGCCCTCTGGTTCAGACTGGAAAAGATAAAAATATATCATTCTTTCAATACGCAAAACTTACTTTTGATCACCATATACCCCAAGTGTATTTTTATGGCACTTTCGCTTCTAATTACAAATGTCAGTCAAATCTCTCTCTCTGTATCATAAATATATTTGCATTTCACCTAGGCCAAACCTATTCATAGCTACTGTCTAAAAAAAAAATAAAGGTGAGGTGTGCATACATTTCTTATATTTAAATTCATTCTTTCCAGATGTGTTTTCCATTTCTGATGTTATCCATTAACTTACATTTGGCATGAAATACAGTACTGTCTAGTTTAACATTGCGGCATGAGCATATGCTTTATCTCCATTTTTAAGAGCAAACTCTTAGTACTACTAGCTTTTCCATTATAAATTTTGCTATCAGACCTTATTAAGCATTTCAAAAATACATAACTGACTGAACTAAAGGGTTTAAGTAAAGGAAAAAATCTACTAATTCTAACATAAAACATTTACAACTCAGATTTGTATTCAGATCTGCAAATTTCTGTTCTAGTTCAAGTCAGCAGAATCTTTCACTTTATAAAACTCCCCCCCAGAAATTAAGATTTTATAAGTATACCTAAAAGTTTAGAAAAATCTGTGATCTTATTTTTAAAAGACCTCACTAAGTTTTCCAGTGTTACCAAATTAATCTTAGATTTTATTTCCTACACCACTGAGAACTGAAAAAATAATTATATTTAATTATCAATGTGATGACTGTGAATGAAAGCTATGTAAAATCTAATTAAAATAACATTTAAAAATAATAATTACAAAATTAAGCTACATAATCTGACAAATGTAGGGATACCTAAATGCTGATATCTAAATAATTTTTAATACCAAATTGCAGTGCTTTGAAAGTACAGCAAATTGGTTTTCCTATTTCTCTACTGGTAATTTCAAAACTGCAGTTTACTTAGAAAAACACTGCTCTGCTAAGTAAAATGAACTGAAACAACTTCTTATTAAAACATAACATGAGAAAATATGTATTTTATTGCTGTTTAGACAGAAGAGCATGGGATTCAAAATAACCACATAAGACAGTGCAATAGAGTAACCTCACCATTATCACAAGTGGAGAAAGAAAAATATTCTCCTCCTACTACTTCTCCTTCTCCCATAGCTGTGACTGATGGAAGTACAGAGTACATTAAAGGGGTTGATACAAATACCATGGTAGCAGCTACAGAAACAGAAGATCAAATTGTCCACCAAACTGGTAAGAACCAAGAAAAGATAATGCCAATTATCTGCAGAGGAGTTTTAATTTTAAAAGTGTTGGAACTGAAAATAGAAATTAGTTAATTCTGGAAGTATAAAAGGAAGATTCTGATTATAGAATTGCCCTGGGTTCAGCTATAGCAGTTATTTTTCTCCTTCTTAGTAGCTGGTGCAGTGCTATTTTCGACTTTAGTCTGAGAACAATGCTGATAACATACCGATGTTTTCAGTTGTTGCTAAGTAATGCTTAACCTGATCTCAGTCTCATGCTCTGCCAGTGAGAGGCACATGAAGGCAGGAGGAAGCAGAGACAGGATACATGAACCAAACTAGACAAAGGGTTATTCCATATCACAGCATGTCATGCTCAGTATATAAACTCGGAGAAGTTACCTGGATGGGGTAGATTGCTTCTCAGGTCAGGCTGGGTATTGGTTGGCAGGTGGTGAGCAATTGTATTGTGCATCACTTGTGTTTATTGGTTTTTTTTTCTTTCCATTTTTAGTTTTATATTCTCTTCCCTTGTTATTTTCCTTATCATTATTATTATTATTGGTGGTAGTAGTGGTTTTGTATAATACTTTATTTATTGGACTGGTTTTATGTCAACCTGGGAGGTTTGCATTCTTTCGATTCTCCTCCCCATCCCACCCAGAGGGCAGGTGGAAAGGGGAGACTGAGTGCATCACTGTGTGGTTCTAAGCTGCAGGCTGGGCTTGTCTAGGAAAACGCTGTAGTTGAATAACATGACTTGAATAACGTTGTAAAATCCCAGGACAGACAAAGCATATGGTAAACTTAACTAGTCTTCTCTCTAAAGGTTGTCTTAAATCAGAAAAAACAGACTGAAGTCCAACTTACAATATTAGAGTTTTACAGAATCATGTACTCACTACAATCCTCCTGAAAAACCCATGTATTTCACTTTAGTGTTGGCATTTCTCTTGGGGTGGGAAGCTAATGTATATAAAAGCATGAAATGGTATCTCAAGAGGACACACTTGTAAGCAAAGTGCTGTTACCATTTATCATATCAGATACTATTGTGGAACATTTAAATAATCAAACACAACTCTAAAAAATACAGAAAGCCAATTCTAAGGAAAAAAACCTCTTCCTACTTTATTGTATAAGTAAATGTACAAAACATGGATATTTTAAAAAATTTAGCCTTTGATAATACTTTACTTTGATAGAACATTCATCTCTAAAACGAGAAAAAATATATATATATATTTTTAATTAAGTATAGAAACAGTACTTGTGTTCTACTTTTTCTCAGCACTGAACTGCAACCAATTTCTCACTTTTAACATGTCAACAGTCTGCACAAGAAAACATCAACACATTTTCCAGAAGCCAACTTTGAAGGATGCGCTGTCACGGTGAAGACTTTCTGGCATAGTGAGAACTGGCTCAGTTCACTGTTACCTGGTGAATTTTGAACTGTGTTTAGCACCACTTCAAAGAATGGGGAGCTGAAGAGCATGGCAGCAGCCTGAGCATTTGAAATCAAACAGGAAAACAGGGAAGAAAAAAAAATGATAGCTACAAGATGGAGGAAAAGTATAGAAATACTGCATACAGTAGCTTAAGAAAGAGGAAGATTATTTCTGCAGATGAAGAAGCAGAAAGACTGAATGGTCTATAAGGACTAAAATTTCATTAAAAATATTAATTATTGATCAGGATATTTTATGTATTGGATTATTACATTTCTTTAACTACATTACATAAGCAAGAAAGAGGGCAGATTTAGGTTAGATATAAGGAAGAAACTCTTCATGGTGAGGGTGTGAGACACTAGAACAGATCTCCCAAAGAAGCTGTGGCTGCCCCATCCCTGACAGTGTTCAAGGCTGCGTTGGCTTGGGCTTGGAGCAACCTGGTGTGGTAGAAGGTGTCCTTGCCATGGCAGTGGGGTTGGAACTGGATGAGTTTTAAGGTTCCTTCCAACCCAAACCATTCTATATGATGAACTGAAAGGAACTTGGTTTGATATACTGATCTTCCTTTCATCTTCGTTTGACATACTGATCTTCCTTTCTTCTCCTCACTCCTCCAACATTATACAAATTCTTTACAAGGAGAGAAGGAAGCAAGATTAAAGGAATCTGTCTCAAAGCAGCATTTTCACTTTAAAAGTCAATTTGCAGAACTGTTGGCAAAATTGTTTATTTTGATCTCTCTTAACAATGTTACATAGGCAGTCAAATTAGATCATCAGAGTGTTCGTTCTTCTGATATTAACCTAAGATTCTGATTTTACACCCAAGTATTCATTCTATTATCACATAATCAAGAAAATTCTTTCATAGCCAGAAAGTCAAGATAACCATCTTAAAAAAATATAATAATTAAAATTTAAATAAAAAAAGCCCAGAACTGCGACATTGTAAATTGAAAATATTTTAAGGAATTGCAGAAAAAAATATCTGCAAGTATGTAACAACCCATACTTTTTCTTGGTATTTTTCTCTTCAACCTTTTTTTTTTTTTCCAATACAATTTTCCTCAGCTCTTTTAAATGAAACCAAACAGGTTTAAATATGCAATTCATTAGAAAAAAAATACATAACCCCCTGAAGATTTAAGAATTCATTGTGCTTCAGAGATAAGTCTACGCTACAAAGTATTTCCAATGGATAGTTTTAGACAGTTTTAGAAATTGAGTAAAACAGCTAATGCATAATTGCCTTTTCTAACACCTGCTACCTATTATACCTTTCCATTTGTAGCTTTTGAAGTTGCAAACAGTTTGATCTCTAAATGTATAGAATTGCAGACTACCAGCTAAAAGCTATTTAAAATCAAATATAAACAATGACCTTGATTTAAATATTTTAGCAAAAGACCTCAAGACAGATGTACAACCTTCCAGAAGACTTATTCTGAACATATTACAAACGACTCAGAGCACATTATCTAAGAACCATCTGTCGTTATCTATAAAAATCATTTAGATTGTTAACATCACAAATATCTCATTGCCCTGCAAATGCTGGATCTCCTCTGTAGCTGAAATGAAAGGCATTCTGTACACTACACTTCCTCAGCTTCTTGAATTAGACAGTCACTGAAAGAATGCAAATTTTGTTGTATGACTAGACCTATTATTGTCTAGTCTAACCTGCCTCACATACCCTGGATACTTCAGTATTTAAGGAGAATAATATCTCATGGCATTATATTTCTTGATAGAGTAAATAAAATGCATGATTATTTTTTAAGTACTCAGAATGGCTAAAACTATGAAATTGTGCCAAGGTTAGGTATTAAACCACCACATTTCACATGCAAATAATGGCTCAGACACAAGGACTTCTTTATAAGTGAATAAACCAACTTTAAGCAACTCTGTTTTTATTACAATACAAAGAGAAGATAGCTTAGCTATAAAAAGATTCAAGTATTTTTTCCAACATTATCTAAGCAATCTATGGCAGAAAGAGAAAAAGAAGATGGTGCAGGATCATTATGGAACGTGGAATGTGTTGGCTGCTCCTCCATGATTTGCCTTTTCCCTTAGCCAGGCACTCTGACTTCCTAGACACAGACTCAACCCACTGTCAAAACTGTGGCTCAGAGTTCCAGTCTGAGAAGAAACACAGCACGAGCACACTACGGAGAGATCCATCAGGGTAGCTATCTTCTAACAGGAATGACCAACAGCATTGGTCTAAGACAACTAAGACTGTAAGAGTGCAAGCATATAGCAGTACCTCCCCAGAATATCCTGTCAACTTTCAATG